TCTCTCTCTCTCTCTCTCTCTCTCTCTCTCTCTCTCTCTCTCTCTATCCTGCACCGACTGTGGCCTTCGATTTTGCATCTCCTGGTTCGAAACGTTTAAAAAAAGAACCTTTCGTTCCACCGTTTGGTCATTGCCCCGCATCCTCCCTTCCATGTCGAAATGTCGCCAAACTGTCCCTCGTTGTTCAGGGTGCGGCTCACAGACTGTCGGTGCGCCTGTCCCTGTCTCCGGCTGCTGAATTCTGAGGGAGAATGAACTCGATGTCGTAATCGTCATCCGTTATTGTGGTGCTTGGAGGCCCAGGCCTGTGGACAGACGGCGCGCCAGAGCAAAAGAGCGCTGCTGCCTTCTCAGCCACGGATACGGAACGGTCCAGTTTGAAGACGGAAAAACTCATTATCGTGTCTCAGCTACGGAGAGATGAGACGATTGCCTGCTTTATAGATACCAATTTTTCTATCTGCTCCGCAGCTCGTATCGTCTTCGTTGTCTGTTCTATCTCACATTGAATGACCATCTCCGCAAAAGCCAGTTGCTGCAGGGTGACGCTGAGGTTCCGGCCTTCCTTCCTCATCTGAAAAAATTTTAAAAGTGTCGTCTTGAAGGCGGGGGCGCCCCACGGATCGTTGCCGCTCCGTCTCCACGTCTTGTTCTCCTTCATCTCGGTGCGCATCTTGTTGCGAGCGGGGAAGTGGTGGTCCGTTTGCTGCGATCCGACGAGCGGAATCCCTTTTTCAGCCCAAAACCAATGTTTCAGCTGCCATGTAATCTCTCCGCGGATCATCGTCATCATTTGTTGCATTTCCCTATGACAGCTCGAATCCCGCACTCTGCTATGTGAGACCGCAGCCCTTCCTCTGCTGTCTCCCCTGCCAGTTTCGCCGTCGCTTGCACTGCCGCGAAAAACGCGTCCTCTGTCGAGTACAGAGTTGCGTCGTTTGCCGCAGAGAACGCAAAGGCTTTGGCGCCGGAACGCAACAGCTTGCCCTTCATTTTCTTCACGAATGCGGCGCCCTCGTCCTTCGGTCCTTGCACGGGTCCGCCGCTTGCGCGCACTTTCGTTCGTGACGTTGCGATCGGTGGGAAACAGAAGACACAACGCACAGGAGAGTGTTAACAACTCAGCGCCTTGTTTTGAATACAGCACTTGCAAAATTGAAGATTCTGCTATCAGCTGTGCGTTTACAAAGACACTTCTCCGTGCGTAAAGACGTGCACCGCGTGGGGGCACGGGATTATGTGATCGGAGTGGGAGAGGAGTCAGTGCGACACGGGGTTTTTAACCTTTTCCGGCGGCGCTGACGTGCTGTACAATTTGTCTGTCACCGACACTCTCCTCGGTGTCGCTGCCGTTGCGTGTCTGCCGTTCTTCTTCTCTGCGCAGCGTTCTCGAAGGAAATGGCGAACCACCTCTTTCCGAAGCGGCGCTCTGGTCTTCGCCGGTTCTCTCGCTGGCCGACTTGCCGTCGCTGTCGTCGTCCTCATCGGTGTCTTGCGATTGTCCGCGGGAAGAATCGCTGTCGTCTCCCTTGTTTCCTGGCTCCTCGTCCTCCGCACCATCTGACTGGCGCGGAACGGTCGTGTTCCTCCTCTTCTTCCACTTGGGGTCCGCTGTGCCTGTCGTCAGACCCTCTAATATCGATTGTCTCCACTGTTCTGTCGTCTTTGTAGGATATTATCTTCTTTGTTCTTCGGTGCATAGTCGCGCTTCTATCATCCCGCGATCTTTTTTCCGGAGCCCTTAGCGGACGGTTCTCGACGCCGCTTTCACACTTTCCCCGGACGGGGGTCGAGGGGGGCGACTCGTTACGTTTTTTCAGCATTGAAATCTCTAGTGCACTCGAAGAGACTGTAACTTTCGATCCGGATTTGCGGCTGCGCTTGTGCTCCGTTTTCGCAGAGGGGCCGGCGCCGCTTTTGCGATGTTCTTTCGACTGCTTCTTTTCGGCCCTCGATTTCTTCCGGCACTTGTCCTTCTTTCCCGCGGTTTTCAAACACCTGCACAAATCCTCGTATTTTGGCCTTGGAGCCATCACCCCTTTTTTCCCACATGCATCAAAGTGGAATAAGAACCACAAGTGCGTCAGTGATGTTGTTTGTCACGCAGAGAGAGAGAGAGAGAAGAAGAGAGAGAGAGAGAGAGAGAGAGAGAGAGAGAGAGAGATTTGAAATTGCGAAGTCATGCAAGTGAGCAACCTCTTTGTGCGTCAGAGTGACTGCATTTGTATTGTCAGGTGGCAGGAGATCGCATAATCTKGGAAMAAAAAAMAATTCTAGAAAAAAAACCATCGGAATAGTTGCCTCGTCCATCATTGCGATAAGGTTGGCTACTGCGGGCCAATCATGTCCGCACATCTTACATTTCATGAAATTTTGGCCCGCAGTAGTCAACTTTCCTCACATCGCGTTCGGTGACCTGAACAACATCTCATTCCATGGAAGTGTTGCTCTCTCTTCTGTTTATTATGCTTTGCAACGCTGTGGCTACTTGTGAAGCCGCTAAAGTGYCGTTGCCTTTTGTGACTGCAGCACAGGCAGCAAGCCGGTCCACCATCGACTCGCGAAATTGTCGAACAGTTCTTTCGTTCACCGTTGTAKTTTTGATAACTTCCAGTAYRTCCTTGGCCGTCAGATCCTTTGCCGCGGTTCTTCCAATAAATTGTATTATGGTGGTAGCGATACAACACACATAAACACCACAGTCCGTGTGATTGTTCTGTTGCGGGCATTCCGCATGCACAAGTTTACTTCCTGCCAGATCCCTGCATGTCACCCACGAAAAATGAACCTTTCCGGGTGTCAAAGCCTGCAAATTCGATGCCTCGTGAAGGTACTCGTGCCACAAAAGTGTTCGCAACGTCGTCCATTCGTCTCGTTTTTTTTCTCTCATTGAGTCAACGACGATAGCAATGGTAGGGTCGGATATGCGGCTGTCCGCAGTGACCTCCAAGAAGGACCTCGCATTCAGCAACAGAAGAAGAATCCAGTGTTTGTTACGGTTCACTGGTATCACAGTGACCGGCGCGCGTCGCAGTTCGTTGCACAGTCGATGCAATTTCTGTGGTCTCTTCTTAATTGCGTCCTCTCATCCTTTTTTCGTCAATTTCYCAAATTTTTGATTGGCGACGACCTCGGGGTGCCAGAAAGTTGTGCAGACGTGAACATAAGACCTATCCTGACCCCGCCCAACCTCTTCATACACAGATTGCAAATAAATGTCAATAATATTGTCGTTCAGCCATCAATCGTCCGACAACCGTTCAATATCGGATTTTGATACGGGTATGGTGTGTTGCGGAGATTTCCATGTAAAAGAGAACAATTCGACCACGTCAGTGATGTCGGTCTGCTCATCTCTCGCTCTTGTCTTGTCCCCTACTTTCCGTTTTCCCATACAACAGGAAGACTGTTCCCCGCAGGACTGGGGCCACTCTGTTGCACCCTCAGTCAGTAAATCGTACATTTCCGCGCACCATAGGTCTGATAACATGTCCTGCCAGCTCTGTGCTGACCTCTGGCTGCTCGATGGCAACAACGGTTTTCCCTCCCTGGCACCATTACCCGTTTCGGCGCACTGGTATGGCCCCTTCCCAGCGGCCGACCAATTACTATTGTTGTACGACTCTTCCATCGTTGATCCCCTTCTCTTACCTGCACCCTGTTACTCTGTGTTCCGTGTCGCTTCCCCCCCTTCGCCCCCTCCCCGCTTTGCGGCGTCGCAACTTTGTGTTCATAATCACACACTTAGGCAAAGGCAGAAGACACAGAGGATTAGTTATGTTTTTTAGCAACGGCGAATGATTTTTATTGAGATGCTATAATTTGTTTTTTTTTATTTGTTTATTTTTCCTTTGCAGATAGGTGGGGACGAGAGAGTTCGTGCCACACACAGAGAGAGAGAGAGAGAGAGAGAGAGAGAGAGAGAGAGAGAGAGAGAGAGAGAGAGAGAGAGAGAGGTTGGTTACTGCGTGCCAAAACTGAATCAAATGTCACTGTTGACGACGTGAATGTCACGTAGTAGTCAACTTTTGGGGACACTTTCGTTTCGCATGAAGTTTTGGTTCTCCTTCGTAGGTATGTCAGCGTTAGACATCATAGTTGTTTACAGCTACTAGAAAGATTTACTTCGGCTGAGAACGGCATCACCATCTTGTCGCGAGAAGAAATAGATAGACTTACAGATTTTCTCGTAATTGAAATGAGTCTCTCTCTCTCTCTCTCTCTCTCTCTCTCTCTCTCTCTCTCTC